CAAACAAATAGACTCCAAACTTTTAAATGGTAATTTACGTCTTCATGATCATGTTTATAATTGAAATGTGTACATGTGTATTAAATGAAAAGTTATAAGTTCACAAAATTAGTACCACACATTTACAATAAATTATTTATATTGTTGTTTTTAACAGTTTATTTATATTAATATTATATATGTATTAACTATAAATATATTATTTATAAACAGATTTTTGTTTATATTAAAATACATTTTGTAAATATTTATTGTTATATTACTTTTTTTGCAGTGTAATTTGAATGAATTGCGGGAAAGTCTGTGATCCTGGTGTGTTTGTGTCTGTGTGCTATTTCCAAGCAGAAGGCACCCTCCCTAATGGGCTGGATCCCATAGCAGAAACGGCCATTCGGCAGCTAACCGAGTCGGCCAGTAAGGTACCTAAGAAGACACCTACTAAACGCAGCACTCTCATCATATCTGGGGTGTCAAAGGTCAGAGTCTGAATATCAAGTAAACAGATATTTCTAATCAATGTCATAAAAATATCTTGGTTACAATGAGGCAAGCGTCTAGGGAAATGATCACGAGAACAGTCTCTTTAGCCCTTCCCCCAGGGTAATTTGTTAAGTCTTCTCTTTCCGTCACATAATTTTGATGTAACACTCATCAGGGAGAATGACATGTACATGAGGAACACTGTGTTAAAACTAATTTTCTGTCCTTCCCACAGGTCCCCATTACTGAAGATGACTCAGCCTTATCAGTGGGCTACGCTGCAGCAATGGATGCAGCCCTACAGGGGGCGTATTCTCCCAGCGGAGCCCCGAACCACCACGGAGCATCCGCACATCAGGAAGCAGACGAGACTACACCATCTGACGTGTCAGAGCGACCATCCGTGGATGACGTGGAGTCGGAGACAGGATCGACCGGAGCACTGGAGACGCGTAGCCTTAAAGACCACAAAGGTGTGAATTTCTTTGTAATGTATTTTTGATGTATTTATCATAAAAGTTCTATTTATGGTTTTTTTTATGTGCATGAATGTTCTGTTTCAGTGGGATTCCTCCGCAGTGGCACCAAGCTACTGTTCCGCAGGAAACGCAGAGAGAAAGACCCCAGTTTCAGTCAATCCCACGAGGACGTCTCTAACCTGGGCAATGACTCCTCCACAGCCTCCTGCTCCTCCACCAGCCGTAAAAAGTCTGGAAGCTTCTCTCATCGCCTCATCAAACGCTTTTCGTTCCGCTCGTCCAAGACAAAGGGCAAATCCAGCACGGCCAATGGAGGATCCAGCACTACAGATAACTAAAGGAGAAATAGAGAGGAAGGGCGAGTAAGAGAGACACGGTGCGGGCACCAGTCAAATGAGTGTGGAATTGGCTCCAAATTTATCCAGAACTAGTTATTTATGTTATATACCGATTGTCTACAACCTAGTTGGGGTAACATAATACTTCAGACCACATTGTACCCAGGAAACCAGCCTTGTTTTGGTGTTTTTTTCTGACTCGAACCTTATCGTTCATCTGTGATTAAGCTTTTCAGGTTAGAAAACGCCAAATGTGGAAAATAAAAGGATTTGACTATTTATGGATGCATTGCGAACCTAATTAATTTGATAAAACGGATAAACAGCCGCTTTTGTGGATAATTATGAGCGAACAAACTTGAGAAACTCAAAACGGTCTTGTCATGCGGTTATTGAGCACAAGGGGGCGACATAGACCAATGAATATTGATGACTCCATCACTGTCGCTGTGTTTTTCTTATTTATTTAATTTTATTAGTTGCACTTTGGATCTTAATCTGATTGTTTACAATGCTGGGGATCCCTCTTTCTGTCGTTTTTATCATGTTTGTGTATCGTTTACTGTTAGCGGCACTGATTTATTTCTCCTGAGCTCATGGGGAGTATTTCCAGAGTGTGATATGCTAAGACATGCTGTGAGCTTTGTTCTCGTTTTGCTGTTGCTGTAGCATTTAGATCAAGGGATATTATGCCCGGTTTTTAAATAGTGGTACGTTTGACTTTCATTGTGGCTTAATAATCTTTTATAATGATGTTTATTTGTTTAAGAAAACGGAAGGGTTCTTAACTTACTGAAGGCATATCTCACTAAATTACGTTCGTGTTTTGGTTGTAAAGTGTAAGCCCTTCAAGGAATACACTACAGAAAAAAAAACGCATTTGTTTATATTTATAAATTATTGTAAATCAGGCTGAATCTGCAGTGGAGAGTAGTGCTGTTTTCAGGGTCCACGCGAAAACAAACCTCAGGGGATATAATGAAAAGGTGAAAATAAGTTTAATCACGTTATCTATCTCATTTTTTTTTTCAGAGATGGTTTCTTGAACAAAACAGGTGCGAACGTTACCACAGTAACATACAACCCCGTTTTCCTCTTTTTTTTATTCATTTAGTTGCAGTAAACTTATCCAGAGGAGAGGGCATCCGCATGTGCTGTACTTACCACAAGTAGATTTATTCATCGTAATGCCATCGATGGCTTTTATGATAATATTGAGCAGAACATTTTATTATTTTCTGATAAACTAGTAATTCGCGTTAACGGTATAGTTCACACACAAAGTTCTACCATTATTCACCTCGGTTTAGTTTGTATGGATCATAGATGCAGTGGTGACCGAGGCTGTGTATCTGCATAAAATCTCTTTTTGTCTTTTTCTCTTGTTGTCATAAAGTCATAGAGGTTTGTGAATGAACACTAATCTCATTTTGTGTGAACTATCTCTTTAAGAAATCTCTCTTGCCTAGGCCCCCACCCTATATGATCAGTGACTGTTTCAGCATTTGGTTAATGGTTATATCTATCAAATGTTTGAAATAATCAGAACTCTGGAAAAAAGACTATTGGTTGTCAAATAAACCGAATCTAATTAAAACAGGAAAACATTTTACCAATAAAACGATGACTCGCAGTTCATGAATCAATGACAAAGCGCTTGTTTGCTATAGTTTAGTGTGAGTCCTGGAGCATAAAGCCTGAATATGTTATATGACCAGAATGTTAAGATAACAGAACAATCTAAAACGAAGGCAGTGGACCTTCTGAGTTATTCGGAGCTTTATATTATTGTGGTTAATTTGATGTTTAATTTATTCTAAATAAATTATTTTTGAAAATCCATTCCTCTTCATTTTCTTGTTCCCTTCAAAATGGTCTAACCTGTTTTTATACAGTCTATGGTTCTAACTAACGTTATATGACTTGAAACGGAGAAAAGAATCTGGCAAGTTGAAAAAGTGTTGCTGTGATTAAAACTACCAAGATGTATTTCTTTAAACAAAGTGAATTAAGTAATCTAAAATGTATGTTATATATAACATGTTACATATCACCGTAAACAAAAAAAATGGGGGGAGGGTTAAACACAAATCAATCATTTGTCATGATTCTGCGACAAACTGTTAAAATTCTTAAGGAATATGTTCAATTGGTTTGAATTTACCGCCCAAATTTGACTGACATAGCAAAAGACCACTGGCCTCAATTACGAATCAATCAGCTAGCTCACATTTAGATGCACTCGGATTGGTTCGTTAGCTTGCGCTGTTTATGCGCTACAAGTTCAAGCCAATAGGAGAACGCATCCGCTCTATGGTTTGCTCTAACAGCCAATCAGGTCCGTGCTTTACTGCGCGTATCCAATCATAACGACGGGCTGGACCATACAGCCCTAGTTCAGTCAGTCCTATACTGCAGCAACTCCGTAGAGTGCCTCTAATTTCTTCCAGAAGGTGAGGTAAGAACTTTTTCGAATAAGATGTCTGGAAGAGGTAAAACTGGAGGAAAAGCCCGCGCTAAAGCTAAGACTCGCAGTTCCCGTGCAGGTCTTCAGTTCCCCGTCGGCCGTGTGCATCGTCTCCTGCGTAAAGGCAACTATGCTGAGAGAGTAGGTGCCGGTGCTCCCGTGTACCTGGCTGCCGTTCTCGAGTACCTCACCGCTGAGATCCTCGAGTTGGCGGGAAACGCTGCGAGAGACAACAAGAAGACCCGCATCATCCCTCGCCATCTTCAGCTGGCCGTCCGTAACGACGAGGAGCTGAACAAACTGCTCGGCGGAGTGACCATCGCCCAGGGTGGTGTTCTGCCCAACATCCAGGCCGTGCTCCTGCCCAAAAAAACTGGCCAAGCTGTTCAGAGCTCCGGCAAGTCGGGAAAGAAGGGATCTTCCCAGTCACAGGAGTATTAAGAGCGATGCTGAACTGAGTTAATGCACCTAAAGGCCCTTTTAAGGGCCACTCAGTTATTCTGAAGAAAGCAAATTCCATGTGTCTGAATTGTCTAACGTTAGTCTGTATTGAGCCTTTTTACTTATTAAACTTAAATTTTGTAAATTTTTCTGTTTTGTTCTGATATAAACCGATAACTTTATTCTGCGTGATCAAGGGGGTAAAAAGGTGAACAACGGTGGGTTTTAATACTTTTATTGATATAATTGTAGAAATAAACATTGCAGGTCAAATCATTTGGGTAATTTAATCACATTTAGAAGGCACATTGTGGTATTCAACCCATATAATATGTGTGTGTGTGTGTATATATATATATATTCATTCTAAATATAAAACTTTATAACCAACATTTTTTTTTTAGATTATCCATTTTGTCAGAAACTTTGGACTCATTCTGGTTAATTAATATCTGCATTGATAAAAGGCATAATTTTTAAGACTGAGGATATGCGGTTAAAAAAAAAAAAAAGCCATATTTTGTGAGAGGTACATAAAGATGAAATATACTCAATTCGTGATTAAAATCACGGCCAGATGTAAAAGGTTGCCATTTTGGTCTCCTCATTTTCAAGTGGTTCATAGATAAAGAAGGTAGTCTGACATCATTAGAAGTGGAAGACTATCGGCATGAATTCTCTTCCAGAATCCTGTGCCTGAGGAGACGATGGCAGTCAAAACAGTACAAATGTCAGTGTCTTGTGTACGAACCAGAAGCCGAGAGAAAAATTGGTGCTATCACATTGTTAAACTGAAGTAACCTGTTGGTTGTTTTTAAATACACTGATATATACAGCCAATAAAGGTTGTATTTAAGCTCTGGAGATTCGGCTATAGAGCATATGGTTGAGTGTACGGTTTATCCAAGTTAACAGCATGTCAAAAGTTCTAGGTCTAATATTCCAGTGCACAAAATGTAAAAAATCAGCTATTGAGCATCATTTAGTTGCCTGGCTGTTGTGAGAATGTCTTTGGCCCCCCTATTAAGGAGAGCATTTGCCAGATCCATCCCCAGTTTCTCAGCAGCTTCGAGGGCTGATGATGATACATTGTTGGCAGTGACTCCAACAAGTACACACTCCTGTGCACTCTCATTCACCTGATAGAAATGAGTTGGAATAAAGGTTATAATATTGTAAATTATAGATAATGCTGTAAAATTGTAACTACATTGACATTCAAAAGTTTGTGGTTAAGATTTTTTTTGTTTTGAAAGAAAACTCATGCTCACCAAGGCTGCATTTATTTGATCAAAAATACAGTAAAACAGTAATCATGTGAAATATTACAATTTAAAATAACTTTTCTATTTTAATATATTACTCATTACTCCAGTCTTCAGTGTCACACAATCTTTCAGAAATCATTCTAATATGCCGATTTGGTGCTCTTTCATGATTCTTTGATTAATAGAAAGTTCAAAATGCATTTATTTGAAACTTTTTGTAACAATGTCTTTACGGTCACTGATCAATATAATGCATCCTTTCTAATACAAAAAAAATCTTACTGACCCCAAACCTTTAAACAGTAGTATATATAGAGGTTATATTTGATCCTTACTTTGTCTATTTCCACAACCGTCTGCATAGTGTCCTTCAAGCAATCAGCTCCATCCAAACTATAAACTGCTCCAGTGAAATACAGCTGAAACCAGGAAAAAAGATCATTTAGTCTATGCTATACGAACATCAACAACACTTATTCAGATTTGTATTGGGTGAAGTAGCATCGTAACATGCCACTGAATGCCTGAAAATATAGTTATTTTTTGTCTCTTTACCATGGACCCTTTCACTTCTGTATGAACAGCAACAGGCACGCTGCAGCCTCCTTCCTGAAAGCAGAAAAAGGAAATGAAGAGCAGCATTAAAATCATAAAACTGTGTTGGACTACATAGAATGCCCTCAGGATAAGGTCAAACTGATATGGACCACAGGCAATGAGAGCTGAGTTCATGTGCATGTAAGGAAACCCACCAGCTCTTTGAGAAAAGCTCTCTCTGAGATGCACCGCAGCACTGTGTCTGGATGGTGCAGGACAGACACCATTTCCAGAATGTCTTTATCTTGTGCTCTGATTTCCACTGCCAGTGCTCCCTGATGATAAGACACATTTGTGTTTATTTAACATTTACTGCAGGCTAATACAGAGCATACAGTGGCTTCACAGCAGTCTGATCACAAATACATTATGTTCTATGTTCATGTTCATATTAATTCACCCTTCCACACAATTAATCAAGCCTTAAGCTTTTTTTTTTTGTATTAAAACGTAATGGAGATGGAAGCTGTATTTTCAAACATTGAATCATTGCTTATACAAGACATTTACGTTTAGAGACCATATTGACCTACTGTGCTCCATTCAATTTATTCCTTATATTTTCTTTACTTGGTCTTAAAAAGGTCTCAAAAAGTCTTAAATTGACCTTCATAAAACCTGCAGAAACCCTGCATGCAACATATACCAAAATAAGTGCACTTTTATGGCTGCAACCGTTAACAAATTGTTACACAGGTGTTTCCTTTAGTGTTTATAATGTGCATTAACAGTTGAGCCTGCAGCTGCAGGTGCTTCTTTTCTCGCATGAACAACACAATAATAAGTACAAAGCATGACGGGTATAAACACTGGAAAATATTTACTACTATTTTAAACCTCATGTAATTTCATAGCTCATGAATTGGTTGTGCATGCTTGCACACTCACCTGGCCAACTGCATACATGCAATCTTCAGGGTCCAGAATCTGCAATTTACAGAACAGCTACTATAAATGCACGATAAATGCATCTATAAACACTGCTGTAGTCACCAGAGACCTTCATATTCAGAATAGCGGCTGGTATTCTTGCATTCAGATCTGCCTCCATCGGATCAACAACTGATGGATAGAACCAAGTCCATTCCCTACATTTTTTGTCTTTTTTGATAATCCTCAGATGTACGTCACAGCACAAAATAAAAGATCTGTCGCTTCTTCTGTTACATTGTGACTTTAACATACCTGACTGATTCGGCTTTCCCAGCCCATACGTTTGAGGCCTGCTGCGGCCAGAATAATGGCAGCATAGTCGTCCTTTTCATCCAGCTTCTTCAGACGGGTGTTTAGGTTCCCTCTCTATAGCAGTAAGGTCAAGGAGGAAGACTCTAGTACCGGTAAAACGCTATATACAATATAGGGAAACTTGCTGGTGTAACAAATACCCAGGAAATATGTGCTTGCTTTGGCAGTCCATCAAAATCGATGATAAAGCTGCTGCCATTAATAATGTATAAACATCCACAGACGCAATAGGAAAGTGCAGGATACAATATTTTCAAACTCCAGTTGAGGGAATCGTTTCTTTAGCTGAGCTGCTCTGCGAAGTGAACTTGTGCCAATCACACTGGAAAAAAGAAAGAAAGAGAGGTTTCAAAATATTTCTGACAGCTTTGGTTACATAAGTGCATATACAGCGGGTACGGAAAGTATTCAGACCCCCTTAAATTTTTCACTCTTTGTTATATTGCAGCCATTTGGGGTCTGAATACTTTCCGTACCCACTGTAGCTGTCAAAACACGACATCTATGGCAGAATGTAGATTTTCAACTAAATTCTATCACCATGAAAAACACTGATCTCCCTTGATTATTGGGTCATCAATCAAATTCTGGAGGATAGATGCCTGTACTTTTATTTGGCATGAGAAGATTGTTAAAAACACAGAGCTCACCTCTTCTCTGGCAAGCTGTCGAGGATAAGTCCAGCATTCTTTGGATGAAGCACCACTGCATCATGGGGGTTTTCCCTCCTTCACAAAAACAACACACAACAAATCACTCCCCACTCAAACAGGCTTTCAAACTACCTACTACAGTGCCCTTAGTCAGTACAAGTCATAAATATGCAGCTACTAAATTAACTTTAAAATTAAATAAGATAAACTAATCATTAAATAGATATTTACACTACTGGTCAAAAGTTTGTATTCTTTTAGATTTTGAAAAAAATTACTTATGATCATTTATTTACTTCTTTTATTAAACATTCTGTGAAGTATTACATTTTGAAATAACTGTTTTCTGTTTTCAATAGATTTTCAAATGTAATTTATTCCTGTGATGGTAAAGCTGAATTTTCAGCAGCCATTACTTTAGTCTTCAGTGTCACATGATCCTACAGAAATCATTCTAATATGCTGATTTGGTGCTCCATTATTAATAATGGTTCTTATAATTATCAATGTTGAAAACAGTTTTTGCTGCTTATATTTTTGTGAAAACAGTCATACATTTTTTTCCAAGATTCTACGAAGTTTCAGAAGAACAGCACTTACTTGAAACAGAAATCATGATAAATTGTAATTGTAACATTTTAAATGTCTTTACTGTCAATTTTGAAAGAAAACACATATTTACCCCAAACCTTTGAAGGGTAGCGTATCTTGATTTCCTCAAAAATATTATGTAGCAAAAACTGTTTTCAACACTGATAATAATAATAAATGTTTCTTGAGCAGCAAATCAGCATATAAGAATGATTTCTGAAGGATCATGTTACACTGAACACTGGAGTAATGGCTGCTGAAAATTCAGCTTTGCCATCACAGGGATAAATTACATTTTAATGAAATATATTAAAATATAATAATATTTTACAATATTAGTGTTTCACTGTATTTTCCAACAAATAAATGCAGCCTTGATGAGCATAAGAGACTTTAAAAACATAAAAAAATGAATTATTCCAAACTTTTGACTAGTAGTGTAAATTAATAAATCAATCAATTCATTTAAATTAAACTATTCATTAATTGAAATATATATATATATATATATATATATATATATATTTGTTAGATGAGTTTGCTTCTATTGTCCTCATTTGTAAGTCGCTTTGGATAAAAGTGTCTGCTAAATGACTAAATATAAATGTAAGTCTTTTATAACCTCAGCACATAATCATTCATTATTATGCATAAATTATTAGCTTTCTCCAATACAACTACAGCAACACATACATAAAGTGCTCAGTTCTACAGCAGCCTTATACAGTGCCATTCCAATGTTTAGGGTTAGTAAGATTTTGTTGTTAAAAGAAATTAATAAAACTTTTATTTTTTAACTTTCTATGTATCCTGAAAAAAATGTATCATTGTTTCCATAAAAATATTAATAAGCACAACTGCTTTCAACATTGATAATAATAAAACAGATATTTTACATTTTAATAATGCTTCCCAATATTACTGTTATTGTTAGATGTCGATGTTGTGGTCCTTACTGAAGAATGGCTCCAATAGTGAATCCAGGGGGCAATGAGGTAGGTAAATCCTTAAGAGAGTGCACCACAATATCCACTCTAGTGATGAATAAACACATATAAAAAAATAATAATTAAAAAACTAAAATCACCAACCCACACACTAGAGGAAAAACATTGTTCTAACTTCTATTGTACTGTGCTATGTGTCACCATCACCATACAATGCTCATCATATACTTAATTTCACAAAACACATCAACACACATAGTATCAATCTAAGAGGACTGCTTTCACATTCTCTGATTCTAGAGTGTTGGGAACCAGTAGAACAGAGAGTGAACAGTTGAACAGAGAAATTATGAGCAAAACCATTTTCCTGAAGCAAAATGTCAAATAGAAAATAAGACTGAGGTACTCGATATGTCATATCAATAATACTGAACGCATGATAATTATAGGTTAAGTTAATCTAAAACACTTTACAGCATAATCAATTGAACAACAGTCTATTTTTGTTTTCTGATGAGGGTTTTAGAGAGGTGAAACCTTCATATAAGCTGACATGTGAACATACTTAGCATCAGTGTCCTAACCAAAGCTCAGTTTTAAGTCAGCAAACTTACTCATTTCTCTCAAGGGCATTCTCCAGCTCTTTGGTAAAGAGGCTCTTTTCACCAATCTAAGAAAACACATGGTAAATAAAGGTAATAATGGATTTGTACATGTTGGGCACACAAACGTTCAAAGGCATTTCTTCATACCGACACCACAAAACCTGGCATAATGGCACATGAAATTAAGGATGGAATTCTACCTTTGATAATGCAGTGTCCAGGATTTCGTCCCCAACTGTCGACATGGCAACTGAAATGCACACAGACAAAAAGGTTAAGAGCTGAAGAGTTGTGCACTGGCTCCGATTCTGACATCATCATTCGTGTCTTTTGACACAGACAGTAGGATTCAGCAGTGAAGCGCTCGTATAGATTACACATTCTCAGCAGAACACAATCACTCTCTGTTCTTAGACAAGCAGTGAGTGCATGAGGACAAGAAAACGAAAAGTAGTGTTTGTGTATATGTGTGTGTGTGTGTGTACAGACATTTACAGATGAAAATCAGCACATTTAATTGAAAGATATGACAAATGCAATACAATTAAAGTAGATGGAATTCATACAAATTCTAGCATGCAAAATTTCCTCACTTACCTATCTCTAGATTAACGTCTGGATAAAGCTCTTTCAGTCTGCCGGCCACACTGTCTGTTTGAATGCGAGCCAGCTGAGGGACACACACAACCTCATTATTGAAGATACAAAAATGTAATTTCATCACTGTCAAAGTCCCAGTGCAATATATGATGCAAATGCATGAATACATTTACTCTGAGAGTGGCTCTCTCAATATTTAAAGTCAAAGTCCTTTCAAAGATTCTCTATAACATAAATTTCATGATTAAATGTTAGCAGTCACTCCAAGCAATCATAAAGGGTGACACTGAGGGACCGTTTTTATCTGATTAAAGCACACTAGTTTCACACCCATTTCCATTTTGTTATCTACCCTCACATTATAACGGTTCCCTAGAGCAGAAAATCGAAATATGTATATTCTCAATTCAATTTAAACTACAAGTTTGACTTAACTGACTCCATTTATCATTTCATTTGAGCTTGCACTGAGTAAAACCCAAAATAATGGTCCATGTCAAGAGTTGTCAACCTGTACAAACTGTTGGGACCCTCAGCCAACCAAGTGACCCACAATGGAAAAAAAGCTACATTTTCACAGGAGCACTTTATAAAATCTGTCATTAAAATGTATATTTTATTAAACCAACATTACTTTATATAATGCTTATCAGATTATTAGGTAATGTACTATACACTAAAATGCAGATATACATTTTACATTTAAAAAAATTCATACAGTTTGTATGTAGTTTGTGGAAAAAATGGTTATAGTTCATTATAGTCTAATTAAACAATACATGTTAAATATTAAATAGTGTTAAAGTTAAGTGTAGAAAATACTCTCAAAAGAAGATGAAAGAATTGATGAAATTACAAAACAGCATAGCTGAATGACTCAAGAAACATTACCTGGCTCTTCCTTGTTCCCATACGAATAACCCGACTGACTTTCCTGCCATTTCCTTCCTGCAAGAAAGAGAATATCACTAAATTTCATATTAATGCTCACCTTAACTCTTCTAAATATCAAAATAGGTTTCATCTAACTCTCACTCTAATATACTTGAATGGCCCTTCCATGTTCTTTGCAGACACTTTTACAGTTCAGGCTGCAGAAGATGTGCTGGGTCCAAGGCCTAATGAATGACTGAATGAATGAGCAACTGGTGGAGGGGTTTTCTTATTCTATACAACGTCCTTGCATTCCCCACACCCTGTGTTTCTGGGCAGTGCTGATAAACTAAAGGCTCCATGCAATTCATGTAGTTGCGAGTCAAGATATATGTTGACCACTTAACCCTGTTTGACCAGTTTCACAACAGTGTTATTGTTTATCGGACGTTTAGGCTCAGAAAACTCTATGACAGAAGGGGCTACTTAAGTCATACAACTAATAAAAATGTAATTTTTATTACATTATGTGAAATCTCGCGCACCTTTTAAAAGGCTTGTCTATAGGGGTTATGAGCAACAGACGTCCGGGTCTCGTCGCTTCCGGTTCAAGCATTTTGCATATGCTTCGTTAAATATGAAGCCCTTTTACTCAAGATGCCTTCAAAGTAGATTTTCAAAGATTATCATAACCAATGTTCATCACATATGCGGATTGATATCTAAAAGTTTTATTTTTATTCTTTTTCACTAACATTTAGATATAACAAATTAAATAAAACGTCAACAATAAAAACAGCTAGCTAGGTTAACTGATTATCTTAAAAGTCCATAGATATCGCTATTATTTATTATGGCTGTGTTAACACGTTCTCCGACAAGCGGAAGCGATGAGACCTGTTTTCCGGTGTTATGGATCAACTGGGGATCGTGTTAACTCAAAGTCCCTTTAAGGTATTTTATAGTCTTTGGTTAACTGGGGATGTGCGCATTAGGGCTGTGCGATATTGAAGACAAATGCGATATGCGATAACTCATTCAATAATGCAATATTCGATATCCGATATGATAACGATTAAAGTGCCACATGCTCAGATGAAACAGTTTTACTCTGTTAGCTGTCGCTGAGTCAGTTCTGTGAACTATAACTATCTTGTGTCATATATATATATATATATATATATATATATATGGTTATTTGTATGTATGTATGTACTGTATGTACCAAGAGTTCCTGCAAATATTGCAAGCTGTAGCGATATGCATACTGCGATATGTGCATTTGCGATATTTCGATAATTTCGATATATTGCACAGCCCTAGTGCGCATGCATGTGAGCTATTTTACGTCCCATTCCAGCAGATTCATCAAAAGCGACTGCAAAGCTGTAATGAAAAGACGTTGGTACATTCTTAATGTTCTTATTAAATGGTGATGCAATTATTACGCTGTGTTGTTTCCTCAATACCTGTTTTAATGCTTGCGACACAGTTTCAGTGTCATTTTAACATGATTTCACGTGGTGACATGGTTCACAAACCATGCCCACGTTATCTTGGCACATCCACTTCTATGGAAAATGACCATCACTCAAATAAACGTATATATTTCAAGTATAATTCACTTCTATATACACTGAGTGAAAATAGTGTTATTTAGCAGTCTGTTATTTACACTAAGTAGCAAAAAATAGCAGTATGTTTGCATTAAGTGTAGATAGATGCTATATATACTTAGTGGAAATAATGGCAGATACTCTATAGGCTACATTATAAAAAAAAGTATGCAATAGTTAAAATGAAAATATTTATTAAAGTTATCAAATGGATGCTGCCTTATGGGACAATTAGTCCTCTCTACACCTACCCCAACCCAAATACTCATCAAATAGCTATTTTGGTGCTTTATTTCCACTTTTCCCGCGAATGTTTTATTAATTTTATTGAAAATAAACACGTTTTGGATCAGCTATATGATGGGGAAAAATAAGATGAAAAATAAGATGAACGAAGTTGGTTAAAGCTGGATTCGAACTCGGATCAACCGTGTCCAGAGTTGCTGTTGTGCATTTAAGTCCCTACGCCACTGACGCGGACAGCTGTGTAATTTTGACTGACCCAACCAGGCATTGGTTGGTGGGATGAGTGTAAATAAAGCAAATTGCGCTACTGATGTAGATGTATGTGGTCATATTGTTGACTCAAATATTTTAATAAATTATACATTACTCAGATTCAAAATGTTATATATATATGGTTATTTGTATGTATGTATGTACTGTATGTACCAAGAGTTCCTGCAAATATTGCAAGCTGTAGCGATATGCATACTGCGATATGTGCATTTGCGATATTTCGATAATTTCGATATATTGCACAGCCCTAGTGCGCATGCATGTGAGCTATTTTACGTCCCATTCCAGCAGATTCATCAAAAGCGACTGCAAAGCTGTAATGAAAAGACGTTGGTACATTCTTAATGTTCTTATTAAATGGTGATGCAATTATTACGCTGTGTTGTTTCCTCAATACCTGTTTTAATGCTTGCGACACAGTTTCAGTGTCATTTTAACATGATTTCACGTGGTGACATGGTTCACAAACCATGCCCACGTTATCTTGGCACATCCACTTCTATGGAAAATGACCATCACTCAAATAAACGTATATATTTCAAGTATAATTCACTTCTATATACACTGAGTGAAAATAGTGTTATTTAGCAGTCTGTTATTTACACTAAGTAGCAAAAAATAGCAGTATGTTTGCATTAAGTGTAGATAGATGCTATATATACTTAGTGGAAATAATGGCAGATACTCTATAGGCTACATTATAAAAAAAAGTATGCAATAGTTAAAATGAAAATATTTATTAAAGTTATCAAATAGATGCTGCCTTATGGGACAATTAGTCCTCTCTACACCTACCCCAACCCAAATACTCATCAAATAGCTATTTTGGTGCTTTATTTCCACTTTTCCCGCGAATGTTTTATTAATTTTATTGAAAATAAACACGTTTTGGATCAGCTATATGATGGGGAAAAATAAGATGAAAAATAAGATGAACGAAGTTGGTTAAAGCTGGATTCGAACTCGGATCAACCGTGTCCAGAGTTGCTGTTGTGCATTTAAGTCCCTACGCCACTGACGCGGACAGCTGTGTAATTTTGACTGACCCAACCAGGCATTGGTTGGTGGGATGAGTGTAAATAAAGCAAATTGCGCTACTGATGTGGATGTATGTGGTCATATTGTTGACTCAAATATTGTAATAAATACTTTACTCGGATTCAAAATGTTTTTTGTTTTTATTTCTTGTTTACTCAGACGGTGCCTTGTCAACAATGTTAAATAAACATTTTAAATATATAAATTGTTGCTATTTATTTATATATTTAATGCACTATATACATCCAGTCAAAATTACACAGCTGTCGTCCGCGTAAAAATTACATATCTAATATTTCATAGGAATATTGATATTATGAAAATCTTGCTAATTATTACTCCCATTATTGCACTTATTTGTTCATTCTATGTTGCCCCAAAAAAATACATTAATATGCAAATTAGATACAGTTTATAGATACATTGTATATAATGGGAAAACGCTCTTATGGCCATTTTACACCCAAATTGCATAAAGAAAAATGGTTTATAAAAATAACTTTCATAACATAGTTGAGAATCATCTTTATATAAAGTTTGGTATAAAAAATGAAAATTGATTTGTGATTAAAACAAAAATCCCACTGTTTTTGCCTTTTCATGTCTATTCATCTCTTTTTATTAAAAAAAAAGAAGAAAAAAAAAAGAGTACATTTTAAAGTCCCGATGTCCTCTACAGAGCATAACATATGCATAAAATATAATTTTTCAAAAAAATTATTTTTCAAAATTGTTCTTATGCTCTAAACATTGTAATCACATGACAAAATACTAAATTCACAAAACTGTTTTTCCTGGTAGTCAGGAGGCTATAGAAGTGAATTACACTTGAAATATACCATTTTTTGAGTGATGGTCATTTTCCATAGAAGTGGATGTGCCAAGATAACGTGGGCGTGGTTTGTGAACCATGTCACCACGTGAAATCATGTTAAAATGACACTGAAACTGTGAATGTGAGACTCTTTCATGGTGTAAGTCTTATAAGCTAACATAGTATGCTTTGGAGTATTGTTTGTAACCCTTATTGTCTTTTGTTCTTACTTGTCTTTGTAATTGTATTTGCTGTTCTTCTATTGCATAATAAAAATTTAAAAAAAAAATTTAAAAAAAAATTTAAAAACACTTAAACTGTGTCGCAAGCATTAAAACAGGTATTGAGGAAACAACACAGCGTAATAATTGCATCAACATTTAATAAGAACATTAAGAATGTACCAACGTCTTTTCATTACAGCTTTGCAGTCGCTTTTGAATAGCTGGCATGAATAGCACATCCCCAGTTAACACGATCCCCAGTTGATCCATAACACCGGGTTTGGTCAGGTAACGTTCGACATTTACCCTGTTTGACCTGTGCACTAAGAGCCCTTTATGCATATGACACCGACATGTAACTAAACTGGAGCAAGTAAAATATATTCTTGATTACTATCTTCATTTATACGCTTAATCAATCGCCACATCACGGTCCACTTGTCGTCAGAATGTTGATTAAGTATGATTCGCTAAAATCATGTAGATAATTTTTTTAATATAAATATCAAATATATTCACCAATTTACATATATGGTCCTAAATTCAAAATTCCACACTTGCTTTTTGGATCCACATGTTTCTAGATCACGTGTTTCTTCTTCTTCTTCTTATGATGTTTAATGGCGGTTGGCAAACCAGCTTTTGGTGCATATTCCGCCACCTACTGGGATGGAGTGTGAGGCGCTG